GAAAGAGATTTACATAGGAAAGCCGTGCGAGGATCCGAGCAGGGCTGTGATTTGGGACGGCGTTCATTACACACAGGCCGCTAACAAGTTCATATTCGAAAAGATCTCAATCGGGAAGTTCTCGGATCCACCCGTTGGCCTGAACATGGCATGTCACAGGCAGTGAGTGACAGAGAGCCAGTTATGAGAATTATTAGGTTCTGTCCGAATTGGGTTCTTGGCTTTGGCACTTCAGCTGGTGCTTTTCTGTGATGCTTAGAGACAGAACAATAAAGAGTTAAACAATCAAGATTCATGGTTTTGTAGTGAATTACAGAGTTGAACATGGAATGCACTATGAAGGGGCTTAAGAGCTGGACTTGTAGTGGTTAAGATCTATAATCATAACGGTAATATCATCCAAACTGCCCCTCCTTGCGGCTAGGCTCACGAGCTCTTTGCAAGCAGTCGTGAGGCCATTGGACGCCGAGCTTTTGCAGAAACCGGAGTTCTCTTGTCTGGAAGGCTCGGTTTTCATCTTTACTCGTTTGACCAACGAGATCTTTCTTGACTTTGAAGGCGGACTTCCGATTTCAGAGGGCAGCTCGTTCTCGTTGTCATGCCAAGAACTTAGGGAAGACATGAATTCGGGAGATTGGATTGACTCTTTCCGTTGCTTGACCAGCGAAATCCTTCGCAACTTTGATGAAGGGCTCACTTGAACAAGCCCGCAGATCAAATTCTCATCAGTATCGGTAGCTATCTCCTCGTTGCACCATCCTTGCTTTCTCCGAGCTAGAACTTCCAACACAGTGGCAACTGCTTCTTGGTCACTAACCTGTTCCCAAAGTCCATCAGAAGCCAAGACAAGAAACTCCATGTCTTGTGTCAGATCAAGAACAGTTGTGTCTGGTTCAGCTACAACCCAGTTCTTCAGATGGGCATCTCCAATGCTTCGGGAAACCGAGAGTATGCCATGAACACGCCAGGCTCCTCTATGAAACTCGACATAACCTCCCTAGATGTAACCGAAAAAGCAAAAACGTTAATGCTACTCAAATCTCGTAACCCTTCCCCCAATGAATAATTAGCTGATAAACGAATTTCTTTCGGTCCTTTCCTTTACCTGATTCTCGATTCGTTTACGTTCATCGTCCCTTTCCGCTCTATGATCCGTCGTGAGAGCCTCTGCCACTCCTCCTCGGGACAAAACAGCTCTGCAATCTCCTAAATTCGAGACGATGATCTCCCGACCTTGTATTAAGGCTGTGACACAACAGGCACCACTCACTGCACCCTGCATCCATCCATTTCATTGTTTCCAGCAACAGTTATGAACTTCAAATTTTCTCAAGTAGATTGATAAAATGTGATCTTAAAACTGTCTCATGGGTCACATTAGTTGCAGAAATGTGATTACTTTCTACAAGTTCATCACTGCAGGAAAGTGTTTCCTGATATTCTGATCTCTAAAGCAAACAAAGATGATGATTACTAAGAAAAATTCTTCCTTTTGGTTAGTTGTTCATTCTCTCATAACTCATAGATTTAGACACAATATTCACTAGTGAAGATCCAAATTTAGAATTACCCCATTTAAGAAATCCTGGTCAGTCTTCAAATAAGCAGCTTTAATGGCTTCTTCCTTCTCCTCCTTGGTGTCGCAATTCTTCATCGTCTCAAGAACATTGCCGTGCAAATTCTCAGCAACAAATTCTGCAGCTTTCCGACCGCCATGGCCGTCATAAACACCAAAGAAGCTCTACAGTCAATGCCCACAAAAATCAGAACCATCCTCCCAAACCCATCACTCAAAATCTCTAGATTCTGGCCAGAAACCCTAAGAAAGCGGTGATAATAAAGAAAAAAAAAACCTTTTTTGTGCTTCCTGGCAGACAAGGAGCCACTCTATGAGTGTCCTCCATGAATTTCTTCTTGCCCTTGTTGGAGACGACACCAAATCCGTTCCCGCTGAAGCAAACGGTGTCGTTCTGGTGAGCAAAGTCTCTGGATTTGAGTTTATCAGGCTGAATCTCTTGAAGAACATGCGGAATCTCTATCTGGGGCGGTCTCTTCCTCTTCAAAGACGACATCCCTTGAACCGAAAACGCAGAAAAAGTCGAAGTCGTCTCCCTGTTCCGTCTGTTTTCCATGGCTGAGGAAACATTCGCCATGGGTTTTTTTTTCTCCCCCTTCCGTGAGCTTTCTCTTTCTTATTTTACAGCAAACGTAAGAGACACAGCAACGGCTACAAATGTGTGAAGGCGGAAAAGGTCAATGGTTTGGTTTGATGAAAGAGGCGCCTTTAGGGTTTTGCTCAGTCAAAAAACAAAGTTCATAACTTTCTATTAAAAAAAAGTTATAAAATAGAAAAAAAAAACATAAATAGAACAATATCCAAACCAGAAAAGATTTCAAATTTGAATATAAAATTTAATGCAGCTGCCTACACGCTTGATGCTTTATAATTAGTGTTTCTAGTTCCAAACAACCATTTGTTTTGATGCCAAGAACACATATTTTCATATTTGGTGTCAAAAGTTTTTATCTTTAATAAATTTATAAATTTATTTTTCTCAAAGGTTTGTTTTTTTCCCTCCTCGAACGTTAGAGTTACGATAGTCAGATTTCGTATTTTTCTTTTTATATATATATATATAAAAAAAAGAATTTTGGAGCCGTTGTAAGTTTCTTTGCCGGGAAAAATACGGCGCCGTTTTGAGGGACATACCACACGATACGACTTTGGTGGTTGAAGAGTCGTCTTCTTGCGGAAATCAAAATCGTCATCTTCTTCTTCGCGGAGTTTCAGCCACGGAGTAACTCTTGGGAAGAGTGTCCGTACAGATGCTCCTCTCTGCGATCTCTTCTCAGACCCATCTCTCGTCGAACCCTAATTTAGTGTTCTGCCATTTCAATCCAAACCCCAGGTCTTCAAACCCATCTCTTAAGCTCCTCAATGCCTCGTCTTCGCCCTCGCCGTCTTCGGCTTCTATCTCCACCGTCTCCACAGGCGGACTCCGTTACGTGACCCATACTCTCTCCGGTGGAGACTCAGAGCCCGGCGGCGGGGGTGGCGGAGGTGGAGGAGAGACCATGGTGACATCCGCCGCGGCGGTCGCCTCCGCGATTCGTGGAGCTTCGAAGACTCCCGTGGAGTTCGTTCAGATGATTGAGAAGGACCACCATAAGACGAAACTTGTCATGCCCAGTCCCGATTTCCAGCGTCTCTGCTTGGAACAGTTGGATCTCTTCCGCAGAATCGTCGACCCAAATGTCGTTCTCTCGGTAATCTCTTGTCTTCCGCGCCTTTTCCGAGAAAATTTAGGGATTCCAGGAAAACGAATCGTTCGATAGGCTAATCTCTCTGTTCCTTCGTTGTTCCTTAGGTTTATGTGAGACCTGCAGGTGGGTACGTCATGGATCGGTTAGAGCTGCGTCGTGTCACGTGTTATCCCGGCATGAATGCCGGTGATGTCGTGGTCTTGGTCGGAAACTTCGGCATCCCGGCCGGTCTGCGAGCCGCCGAAGCCGCTCTTTCCAGCCAACAAGTACGTGACTTTCATGTTCTGTCCGGTAGCAAAACGCTAAAGCCGAGTACTTTACTTACTGTAAGTGAATCCTGGACATGGAATTTGGTAGGTAGAAGTCGTGAACAAGCACAGAGCTGTAGTTTTTCCAATGGTGAAACACCCTTTTGTTGTCGGATTCTTGGTTGCCGAGTTACCAGAAGGGGAAGAGGAAGGGAACAATGGTTTAAAGCGTTTTCCTTCTCCTGAGGAAGCTTATGCTTTGCCTCCTAGCTCGGATTCCGAATCACCTGAATTTCAGTTTCAGTCTGAGAAGAGATCATATGCCATTAACATCTCTCGAACTCTGGCCATGGCTTATGTGATGGATCAGGTCCCTTGTCTCTTTCTGACAAACTTTTCTTGTTCTTGTTCTATCCTGTTTTCTTGTTCTTGTTCTATGCATCTTATAAGTTTCTGTGTTGTTTTCTTGATTTGGGTGTTTGCAGAAATCCATTCTACTCCAGCAGTCGTCCTGGCAAAACAATGTCAGGATGAGTAAGCTAGTAGAACAGGTCAGTAGATTCTCGCTTTTTCGGGTTCGGGTGTTTTTGCCGCCTTGTTCGGTCGGTGAATGAAACGATGTTTGATTATTTTCCTTGCCTTTCCCGCAGATCCGACGCCCGCTTTCCACCATTCGGACTTTGAGTAAACTGCTTTCGATTCACACGGAGAGAAGTGAGGTCTTTAAACTTTAACCCTCACCGAAATCGTTTCCTTTTCCTTACATTTCCGCTTTCTCGGTTTCTCCCCGGGAGTGACAAAGTTTTATAACCTCGGTAGATTGCGCATGATATCGTCGAAGACATAATAGCTCAAGGAGATCAAATAAAAGACACACTTCAAGAACTCCAAGACGCAGTTTACTTGACAAAGGTTCCTTATATACTTGCCCTTATTGTTTCCATTTTCGATGCTTCATCTAAGGAATATGCCTGAAAGATTTGAACTTTTCAGACCAATATCGTCCGCTACAACGACGAAGCATTGAGGAAGATGAACAAAGCCCGTGAACCGAAGAGGTCGGAGCTATCCAATACCTTCAAAAACGAGGAAAATCCCGTCGAGAAATCTGCCCGTCTTTCCCTGGGATCTGGATCAGATGATTCAGAAATGCCCATGCCACCTCTTGCACTGGCCCCCTTACAAGCACACAGGATAAGGTATAGCGTCTAGGCCGTTAATGTCCAGTTCTTACCCGATTTTTCTCCGGGGCTTAAGGTCGTACGTTTATGTCAGGAAGACCGTGCGACATTTCCGACGTGCTTGCGGATATGGTCGAGGTTGTCAGACCGCTTGCCCTAAAGCAGCAGAGGGTAATGGAGCTGAGCGAACACTCAGATCCGCTGCAAGTAGCCGTGGAGGAACCTGCATTGAGGCAGGCTCTTAGCAACTTGATCGAGGGCGCTCTGTTACGGACCCAGGTCGGCGGGAAAGTTCAGATCGTGTCGACGAGGGCACCAGCCGGTGGTAGCTTGGTTGTCATTGATGACGATGGTCCGGACATGCATTACATGGTAAGAACACTACATCATACCCCATTAAAGCTGTTGTAGTGTAGGATTGGAGGGAGGTAATATGCACTTGCCTCTCCTACCTACAATACCTCGGGAAAACGGGTTGGGTATCCGAAAAGTCCGAGGTATTGGGATATATATCCGAAAGTTTTGGATGGTAGACGAGGGTTTTGGATATCTGACAAAATGTTCGGGTACTCGTGATACCTAAACCCGAAAACAAAAATTCGGGTACAAGGTAGGGTACCCGCGGATATTCGATTTTCGGGTATTTATTACATTCAGTCGAGGACAAGAATGTGTCTGACGAAATCTGTTGAATCAAAACGCAGACGCAGATGCATTCCCTGACGCCGTTCGGGTCAGAGCTGTCGTCGGAAAACATGGTGGAAGACAACATGACGTGGAACTTCGTAGCGGGATTGACGGTGGCCCGAGAGATCCTGGAGAGCTATGGATGCGTCATCCGTGTCATATCGCCTCGTCGGTCCGACGCCGCCCTCGGGGCCGGCGGCACTCGCGTCGAGCTCTGGCTTCCTCCCTCCACATCATTCTCTCAGGCAAGTGAAGCATGAGAAGAGAAAAAAAACTTTTTTTTATGATTTGGTTATGTCTTTTAAAGTACGAGGTTTGAGTTTGGTAATATTTTTATGTTCCTGGCTCAGTGTCTGTATGTTGTGTGATATAGAACGTGAAAGTTTATGCCTTTGTATATAACTGAGCAAACTTAGACTGTAATGTAAATATTAGAGCCTGTAATAGAAAATCACTTGTAAAATTATTGTTAAAATTATATATATAAAGACAAAACATAATATATATATATATATATATATATTAATATTGGCCTCCAATGTGTAAATTCAATGTATATATATATATTGCATTTTTATTTTATATTTTAACGCAATTTTACAGTCCCATTTTTTTTAATTATTCTATCACTAATTTGCATTCGCCGTACCATTTGGAACTATTATATTTGTGTGTGTATTGGCATTTTACGTAAGAGTTATAGAATACTTATTAAATAAGTACTAATAAAAAAATTAAATTCAATAATTTTAATTGTGATATAAGCAAAAAATAGAAATAAAAATATATATTAATTAATAGCTAAGAATAACGTAATTTCATGAGTTGATACTTGATAGTAATGTAAAAATAACATTAAAAAGGCGTTAGGGTTGGCATTTCTCCACTTCCTAGCAATGTGGCAAATCTATCCTAACCTCCTCATTAATGATAATTAAGCCAAAATTAAATTAATTTTTTTTATTAAAATTAATTATTACTAGTTGACTTGATTTTCTGTTTAATCAAGTCATGTACAAAATCGTAACCTCTTTTATACGTTATGTCAACACATTAATTAATAATTTACCATTTTTTGTATATATATAAAGATAAGATAAACCTTAAAGATTAGGGAATAAGATCACTTTCTTAGGTTGTTATGGATTTAAAGGGATCGGGAATTATAACGTTTGTGGTAATTTGCTGAAATCCGTAATTTCATTATTTAGATAAATTTACAAACAATTATTTACATACAATATGTATTTCTTCTATTCAATTTTAAATTTACCAAAATTACCAAATAATTTTTATATAAAATATTAATATTCTCATTTGTATCTTTAATCAAACTATATTGTATAATGATATCTATAACATCGAACAAATAAAAAAAAAAAGTGAAACTTTAGACAAAATGCTTTGAAATTATATATATATATATTAAACTTAATTGTTTAAATAAAAATTAAAAATTTTAGGGTCAACCAAAAACGTCCTAAGTTTAGGTAACAAGCGCCGTTTTGGGTACGGAATCTATTTCATGCGAGCTTAAGGTTAGTTACCTAATTATAGTAATTTCGATTTAGATATACATAAACAATCTCGGCAAAATTATTTACCATTACCATATAAATTTCAATAATTAATTATATTTTATACAATGATTATACCTATTACGGGCTCTTAAAACATATCAACATAACTGCATTAATACAATTTCCATAAGATTAAAATGTCACAGAAAAAAAAACGTATAAAAAATGGATCGTACGGAAACGTGTCGGTTCTCCTGAGCTTTTAGTATTTTGCATACTTTTCTGCCGTATGAACAACAGTAACTCTCCCTTCGGCTTTCAAATTCTTCGTTCGCCTAATCAATCGATGTCCGAGAAAATCTGAGAATTCGGGAACCGAATTTATTGCCCAGTTGGAAAAAAAAAGGGAAAATCTTAGCCAGCGCCTTTCAGATTCTATAGTACGCAAAGAAATTCTCGGAATCTTCCTCCAACCCGAAAACCACGCTGCTTCGAATTTGATCGAAGTCGCGATTTCGTGCTCGTGGGTTTTCTTTCATGGAGAAACCCGTTTCACGTTTTCTCTGTTCTGGGCTTTTCTCGCAAGAACCGATCACGGGTTTTTAGAGGGGGGGATTTTTTTTTTTTTTTTTGCCTGTGTGGGGAGGAAAGCGATTTTCTCGTGCTTTACTTGTTCGCTGGGATCTGGCTGCGATTGCTACGCGTGATTAATCCAGGTTCGTTTTCGATCCCAATGCGATGTTTTTCGTGGGAGAATTACTGTTATGATGTTGTTTGGTTCCCGAGAAAGTCTGGGTTAGGTTAGAATTCCAAGCAACAGCTCGAATTGTTCATCCTCTGCCTGCGTTTTTTTTGGTACATTCTCCGTTTTCTTCTGCTTCAGCCTAAGTATGGCGTTTTACAAGTTTAAGAGTTTGCCATGTGAGGTTAGCGTTGGTTTAATAAAGGTTGAGAAGCGGAAATTCAGCTGGTTTAATGGCGGGTTTATGTGTCTTCTGTCATTTAGTTTCTCTCCTTGCAACCTAAGCAACAAGGGTTTACTTTTTGTTTTTGGGGGGTTTTGTCTTGTTAGAAGACTCTGATTTTCGGGTTCTGGGAATTGAACGGAAACGAGGGTATTGGTCAAAAACCGAGCACATGGTCTATTGTATCATCGTTCAAGTTGCGGCGTTTTGTATTCTTTTTGTAGGGTTTAAGACACTGACTCACTTTTTGACAAGAGAATTTGAAGATTAAGTCTTTGATTTAAGAGACAACCCCCTCAAGTCTGTTCTGTAATTTCCTTACCATACTGGAAAGAGATCACTTGGTAATGATTCGTTTAACAGATCATTGTTGATTTCTCATACCGACAGGTTCTTGGGTTCTCCAGGGTCACCGGTTCTTGATTCTTGAAGTATCCGCTTACAAGAATCCGGTGAAGGATAGTGTTGAGATGGGAATCTTTTCGCGCAGGTCAAGATCTCGGCTCGTTTCTTTGATTTTGAGGCCGATGTTTATAGTTTGAAGATCGGTCACCGACACTGTTTTATGTTGTTTCAGTTCGATCAGTAGGAGGTCAAAAGACGGGATGAAGCTTGTCGCAACGGCGTTTTTCGGAATAGCTTTCGGGTTTTTCGTCGGAATATCTTTCCCGACGTTATCCATCACTAAGGTTCGTTACGAGATTCGTCTTTATTCTTCATCTCCTCCGTGTGATGAATCCTTTCTTTCACATTTTCTAGGTGAGTGTCCCCACAAGCTTTCTTCGTTCGGCCGATCTTTCGTATATAGAGGAAAAAGGTTCGTCTATCGCTACTCCAGCCGATCATAAAGCATGGTCCTCGTCGAAGGGTAATGACAGCAGATCGTCGGCTTCAGATTCCGTCGATAAATCACAGGCATGCTTCGAAACCTTTATCATAGACTTGGAAATTCTAAAATTTCGTCAATATTTTCGGTACTTGGATGCATTTTCAAGAACGAAAGTCTGGAGTCCAAGGTTTCGGTAACATTAAGACACGTTCCGAGGTTCTTTTAGTGTTCCTGAACGACAAGTATAATGCATAAATGGATGATTAAATGTTCCTAATTGATCAAATAATTCTCTCTTTTGTGGTATATATATATGTGTGTGCGCGTGCGCGCAGATATGGGTTCCTTCGAATCCTCGAGGAGCTGAAAGGCTGCCTCCGGGCATTGTTGCTGCTGAATCAGATTTCTACTTGCGCAGATTATGGGGATTGCCTCATGAGGTTTCGTCTCAGATTCATGATGCTTCCGCCTCATTTTTTTTAGTTTTTTTTCGGCATCTCAAACAAAAACGTAAACTTTATTTTCTCGTCTTCTTCCTCAGGATTTGACGAGTAAGCCGAGGTATCTCGTGACGTTTACTGTCGGGTATGATCAGAGGAACAATATCGATGCGTGCATTAAGAAGGTTTAGGCTTACACCCTCTCTCTCTCTCTCTCTCTCTCTCTTGCTTCTCCTTCTTGTTGACCTTAATGCTTACTATTCATCGTGCTTTCTTACAGTTTTCGGATAACTTCACGATTGTACTGTTCCATTACGATGGACGGACGACGGAGTGGGACGAATTCGAGTGGTCAAAACGAGCAATTCACATTAGCGTTAGGAAGCAAACGAAATGGTATATACATATTTTCTCTCTGTCTATATATCTTTCGTGGTACGGAATTTCGGATGGCCTTTTGATGATCCTTATGATGATTTTCTGGGGATTTTTGTTAAAGGTGGTACGCAAAGAGGTTTTTGCACCCGGATATCATAGCAGCGTATGATTATATATTCGTCTGGGACGAAGATCTTGGAGTCGAGCATTTTAACGCCGAAGAGTAAGTTGTCGAACAAAGACTCCTTTTTTGTATATTTTGAAAGAAGCTGCTTTCAGAACTCGAACCCGTGGCCTCTTATATATATATATATATATATATATATCCATTTTTCTTTTTCCCATTTTGATCTGTGTGATGGGCCTGTTCTTTGTCATTGCAACAGATACATAAAAACGGTGAAGAAGCATGGTTTAGAGATTTCCCAGCCTGGCTTGGAGCCAAACAAGGGGCTAACATGGCAGATGACAAAGAGAAGAGGAGATCTTGAAATGCACAAGTATGATGAACAAAATTTTCCCGAGATTTGGACCGGATCTTGTTGTGAAACGGGTCGATAATCTTTTTACAAAATTTTCCGCCTTGAATCGTGTTCAGGATAACTGAGGAGAAACCCGGATGGTGCTCGGATCCGCATCTTCCTCCATGTGCCGCGTATGTGAATTCATGTTTTTCTATATCCTCGTTATGTTACGTATAACTAACTGATATCTATCCTGCTTCTTTCGACACTTTCTTAGATTTGTCGAGATCATGGCTCCAGTGTTTTCGAGAGATGCATGGCGATGCGTGTGGCATATGATTCAGGTAAACCCATCTTCTCATTTCTGTCAGCTACTTCTTCCCTTTCATCAGAAGATTCTGACACTTTTATACGATGTATCCACTGTCTTTCCCCTCAATTCTTACCTTCATCTCACATTGTCGGAAAACAGAATGACTTGGTTCATGGATGGGGCCTTGATTTTGCACTCAGAAGATGTGTAGAGGTTGGTACATATAGATGCATTCTTGATCGTTTTTCTCGGTTTTAACTCGGTTTTCGATAACGGGACTGCGGATTTTCGATACAACAGCAGCCTGCGCATGAGAAGATAGGAGTAGTAGATTCTCAATGGATCGTTCATCAAACCGTTCCTTCCCTTGGCAACCAGGTAAACCCGAGAAAACCCCGAAAAACCCTTTACGCTATCTTCCATCAATCATTACCCTCTTGAGATTATCAGCCGAAGTTTGGAAATTCATCGTTCATTTTCTTCGTCGTGGTTAGGGAGAGGGACGAGACGGGAAAGCGCCATGGCAAGGGGTAAGAAAGAAAAGACCGACCTTTAACTCTTCATCTCGATCAGAATACACACTTCAAATGCACAATGCCGTTATCGTTTTCGGTTTCCGGGGTTTGCAGGTTAGGGAAAGGTGCAAAAGAGAATGGACGATGTTTCAGAATAGAATGGCGAATGCTGAAAAGGATTACCTCAAAGCTCCGGAAGCCAATTCCACTGCTCAATAGGAGTTTCCGACAATCACATCACAAACCTTAGACGCTGCTGACTGTTTCGGATTCGGGCAAGAGATTCAGTTCTTTTTAGTGTCTTTACATCTACATATAGATCCGTCTGTATATGTTTTATGTAGTTCTTACCCATCCCTTGGCTCTGAACATGAACATCTTCCATTGAAATAAGAGGGTTATGAAGATTTTCCATTGAATGGCATGAAAATATCAAAATCCAATTTACTGTTGTATCTTCGATTATTAGTCTGATTTCATCCTGCAGGATCAGAAATAGGTAACTGAAGTGAAAGTCTAATCTACAGAGAGAGAGAGGAGGGGCGGTGATGACATGTCTGCTGAGTCAGCATGTACTGTCTGGATGACGTGGCACGTTGACCGTGTATATGTGTCAGTTTATGGGGTTGGTGAGTCAGCGGGAGAACCAGTAAGCACCACTTGGTTGGTCCTCCAATGGCTTCTCAGAACACGTGTCCGTATGCAGATCATCGGAAACAGACACGAGCAAACAGATTTCTGAAACTACAATCAAAATCTCTGTCACGATCATGGGTGATCTGAAAGAGGACCTCACACGACGCGTTTTGACCGCTAAACCCCACCATTGATTAAAATATCAGAACCATGGTTAACAATTGAGTGGTCGGTATGAACACCCCCTCTGTATATATCACCGAAAAGCCTTACCCTGGTTCTGAATCATCATTCATCGATCGACAACAGAAAAAGCTTATCACAAGAACACTGTAAAAAGGATGGGGCTTTCACATTTCCCGACAGCGTCGGAGGGCGTTCTGCCGCTTCTAGTGATGAACACGGTTGTTTCAGTGTCTCTTCTGAAGAACATGGTGAGATCTGTTCTCCACGTGTCGGAATCTGAGAACGAGGACTCGAGGGAAATGGAGGAGGACCCAGATGAGGACTCGGCGAGGAGGAGGAGAATCTTGACAACCCAGTTCAAGTCTCTGTTCGAGAACAGGGGAGACGAAAGAGGCGAGTGTAGCAGTAGCAGGAGAGATCACGGCATCAATGGCGGAACCAGAGAAGAAGACAGAGGAGCAGCGGAGTGTTGTGTCTGTCTTTGTGGGTTCGAGGAGGAGGAAGAAGTCAGTGAATTGGTTGCTTGCAAGCACTTCTTCCACAGAGCTTGTCTGGACAAGTGGTTTGGCAGCAAACATGCCACGTGTCCTCTCTGCAGATCCATTCCCTAGTATCTGTTCATGCTTTCACGTGTTTTTTTCCTTACTTTTTTTTTTCGGAAAGAAAGGAAGACCAGAGATGTTGTCTTGTACTTACTGGGCGTGAGTTTATACATATTTCGCTTCGGTTATATTCAAGTTTGATTATTCCAGTTTTTTTATAAAAAAAAAATTATAACGTTATCTGTTTATATTGAGTTCGGTTGGATGGGTGTCAATCGGTCCGGTTTGGATCGGGTCTAGACGGTCTGTTCAATTCTTTTATAATTTTTTTAATTAATTTTTAGAAAAAATATTGGATTATTTCCGATTGATCCGAAACACGAATTAAACTCGGCTTGAAAGCATAATTTTTTAGGTCTGAAACCCTATATTTTCAGGTGGGTTCGGATCGGATTTCGAACTTAAATTGACATTTTTATTTTTTATATTGAATTTGGTTCGATTGGTTTATATTTGGTTTGGATTCTATTTGATTGTGATAAAAAAAATTCAATTTTTAAATAAATTTATGGTTTTTTATTATTTTTTTAACAAGCTGGGTGTATGATGATTCTTGTGAGTAAGTATATCATGTTTTTTGAAATATTACAATTATTGTAAGAAAAAAAAGGATGATAATAAAAGCATCTGAGATTGAAAAATTGCTTTTTGGATTCACATCTATAGCAATAATAAGAGAGAACCAATTTATTATAGTCTTATTACACAACGTTAAAAGTAAACATATGTATGAATATACACGCCATTTTATTCCACAATCAAAATAACTAGAAAGACGTTCCTTAAATATCACTATAAGTAATTATACAAATATATATATATATATATAATTTATACCATTTTGATTCCCTTGAAGAGATTTTGAGGCTAATCAATTCAGCAAACTAGCCCTTTGTCGTCCATCTGTTGAACTTCCTATGCTCGAATTTGATGAACTCCTCGGCCTCCTCGTCCACGTCTTCCTCCACGGCCTTTGCCTTCGCCTTTCCGACATGATCATGATGATGAACTCTCCCCCTCGTCATCGTGTTCTCCGGATCACGGAACGAGCTGCCCTCGCGGTTTGTCGAGCTCAGCAAGCCACCAAAGTCGGTATACTCGAACACCCGAGCCGGTTCTTCGGACACGTAACACACTCGGAACTCTTTCACCGCACCTCGGTGATGTTTGTTGTGCTTTGGCGAGGTTTCTAGTAACATTTTTCTTCCCTTTGCTCTTTCTTTTTTCTTGGGTTCTGTTTGATTTGAATTTGAAACTATGGAGGTATATCTTATTATATAGGACAATGTTTGAGGTATAATCCCTTTGGAGATTAGAGGGAATCCGATTCTAACGCATAGTATTCGGAGTTTGGCCAATGTTATTGGACCGGCATTATCTTATTTTTGACGCACGTGTGTATAATATATGCTTAAACTTGTGCCATTTGCCTTCTCTTGGCTGCTTCGACAAGAAGGAAGAAGAGAGTGGAACAGTCAAACAGAAGACAAAACCCTTAACAGTGCCGAAGCCTGTATCTACAACGTTGGACGATATTTCAATAGTGTGGACCGACTATATGAATGCTATACGGTATATAAATATTATTCGTTAAAGATTGAGGGGGTGGTGGTGACTGTCGATTATTCTTTGACATTAACGTGATCGAATTTGATGCGTCGATTATGATCGATAGCGTTGTAATTTCGGGTATTCGGATTCTCGAAGCTTTTGTTGTTTGGTCACAAAGCGTATACACAATTTGGCGAATGCTTATTCATCGATTCTCCACTTGTCCATTAGAAGACTAGGCAAATTGATTTAAATATAATGGTTATAATGGTTATAATCCCGAAGATGAAACGGTACAAAAATTTCGTAACAAATGTTATATATATGTTTTTTTTTATAATCCGAAAATTCATCGAGCTTTCGACGCAACTACATTTCTCAACGAATTGGAGAAACTCGTATAAATACATCTCTACAAATGGGGGTTGAAAAGGGATTTTGTCTCGTTTTTTACCAATTGAGTCACCAATCTTGGATAAATTAATATATATGTTATATTTAATTAATAACCGGGACAACTAAATCTATATAGGTTCTTGATCATGATGCAATTGTTTTGTTAGCAGATTGTATAGTATTTGAAAAGGTTTCATGCTGAGAGACAGATATATATATATATATATACATATATATATATGTGTGTGTTACAGTCTTAGCAATTGGCTTGGCCCGAACCTCGAACAAGGACCTCTCTCTCTTTCTCTCTCTCTCTCTAACATGGAACATGATCAATGGTATGGATAGGGTTCCACCTGATGATAACCCTTGTACTAATCTAGTAAATATATGAGATTGTTATTTAATTAAGGGCAAATCCCAAAATAATGTCTTTTTTAAATTCAACTGATGATGTGATATCCCGATATCATACGTATCAATTTATAATTGGCCAAATCATATATATCATTATCCACATCATCATTAAATGATGATGTAGATGATGATATATGTGTACGGTTAAGTCAAAGTCATAAATTATTATATCAGCAGTTCAGTTTTAAAATGACAAATTTTATGAAGTTAATTTTTTTTTCCATCTCAAAAGATGAGTTCGGGTTTTATTTAAAAAAAAACAAAATTTATTGCTTTTTTAGAAAAAATAAAAAGTTAAGGTATTTTTTTGGAATTTTTCATGAATTGTAATTAATTATTTAATTAATTGAATAAATACATATATTAAAAATGGAAAATGTTATGACGAGAGAATTTTCATTATTTTTACGGATAACTTTTTCACAAAATTATATATAATATTTTGTTTTATTTAAAATAATAATTTTTTTAGTATGATAATTATGATATATAGGATAAAAACGAAATTGTTGAAGGTTCGCTGTATTTCGAAAGTATATTCGTGTAATCATATTTACTTAGTAAAAATGGTATTACGTTTTTCAGTTTGTGATTACATACGTTAAAATCATAGTCGATTTTCTAAATTGAAAATATAGGCCTTGATTGGTAGTAGTTTTTCCAGTTTTTAGAGAGTAAAAAACCAAAAAATTTCGAGTCAAGTTTTTTTACTTTATTTTTCCTAAAAACCCGCTAAGCCACTTTTTTTAGAAAAACAACGTAAAAGCCAAAAACTAATATTTTGTAGATTTTATAAATTTATTAGTAGATTTTTTTTATTAAAATATATTTATATAAATTATTCTAAAGACAAAAATGCTCATCATTTTAAAAATAATTTCGTGTTATACTAAAGACATATTCTTACCATTTTTACTATAATTAATATTTGAAAAAAATTTATAAAAAAACAAAATTTGAGGTATGTAATTCAAAATCTATTATTCAAAATATATATTGTAGTCATCTTATATCTATAGTTATATATATACATACATATACATATATATACATGTAGATATACATATTAATGTTGACTATATATATATATATATTGAAACATTATAAATATAATATATATATATATATTAAATATATATGTATATATATATGTAAATATACATATTAATGTTGAATATATATATATATATATTGAAGCATTATAAATAATATATATATATGTATTTGAACAATGAAAACCCTTTTTGCTAATTTTTAAATATAAAATCTAAAACCAAAAGGTAAAATATTATTTTTACCAATCAAGTTTTTTAAAAACTTTAAAAACTACAAAAGCCAAAAATCAAAAATTAAAAACCAAAAACCAAAAACTAAAGCTGAAACCCCAAAATAAAAACTACTCTCATTCAACCCCTAAGAAAACTAGTAAAAGCCAAAAACTAGTAATATCTTGTCCTCAACTCATACGCTTACTTGGGAAAGATTCTACTTTCGCATTTGTATCGAGTACTTTGTCCAACACTTTTGTAACGCGAACGCGAACGCAAACGCAAACGCGAAAGTTAAAATATTTCGTATCAAATGTATTAATAGATATCTCATTAGAGGTCGTCTAGTAAAGCCATACGTCCTAAGTTTTTTTTTTTTTTTTTTTTTGGTCATGGCTCATAATTAAATGATGGTATATGAATGTTATTTTTCTTCAATTTAATAAACAAATATCAACGGCTATTCACATTAATTAATGGATTCTCAGATTCATATTAATAAATATAATCATTTTAAAAATCGTGGAAAAAAATAATGAGTCCTCCACATAAAGAAAAAACGTGATAGTGTAACAATGATTTAATATCAATTATTTAATTAGCAACAAGCACTCCACACACATGACACAATACATGACTCTTTGGATATAGGATGCATCTTAGTACGTGAACATTTTTTATACGATCACAACTTATTTCTTAAATATCGTGATGAGTATGCATCAATACCATATATATATCATCTTTTAATAACTAGGGTTTTTAGTCAAAGTGCCTTGTCGCCCCAGTACCCTGGCTTGACGTGGCCGGCGGGGTAGCCACCGGCAGCCATGGCCAATGGCCTCACCCCGGCATGGTCACGACCGTGCCCGGTGTTTTGGTGATGTGGCGGAATATGATGAGGAGCCATGTGCATGGTTTGGTGCTTCACCTCTTGGTATGATTCTTTCCGGCGACCGTAAGATCCATCATTCATCTTCTGTAAATCATCGTTTTAGAGAAATAACATTCACTAATCTATATATATATATATACACACACATGGTTGTTCATTTTAGCAAAATCAAAGATTCATGATACACACATACACACATACACATATATATATACACACACACATGAATATGAAAGTTCATGCACGTGAAAAGGAAGGGAAAGATGGAAATACGTACGTGGTTTCTAGGCGGAGGCATGGGAGGAGGAGGCATGAAATGCAAAGGAGGAGGCGGATGACCAAACTGTTGTTGAAGCATCATGTGGGACTGATGGCTCTCAATGATCTCTTCCTCCTCCTCTTCCTCGGAAGAGTAATACTCTTGACGATGAGCCGAATGATGTGGAAGACGATGGTGGTTGCCCATCATGCCATGGTTGCCATGGCCATTGACATAGCCTCCTTGTGATTCATGATGAACCACATGATATCCCTCATCATGCTCACTCTCACACTCTTCACGCTCATAAGCATACCTTCCTCGACGGCCCATTTGGCCATGCCCTCCAAAGTGATCGAGCATTTTTTGTTTTGATCGTAAAATTTATATTTGTGATTTGTTTTGAATGGTTATAGCTTCCTTGCTCATGCCTCTATTTATAGCGTTTGATCGTTTATTTAAATTTTGCTTATGGGAGCTACGTGATATGTTTGCATCCTATTCTTTTCTATGGTTCTATCTCCACGAACCGAAAGTCGAGTAGACACATTTATTCTGATTCCGTCTGTTTTTTTTTTCTTTCATTTTTCCCATGCATTTCTCACCATAATGTGATTCTGTTCTCATATATTATAAGTTTATATATATATATATCATGAAATGATTCGGTAATCAACTAAGCTTAATATGGTTTGAAATTAAATGTAAGAAACTCAAATGATGAAAGAACATGGAAATTATACAATGAAGAAAAAATGCTTGTTGAAGATAAAATATTAAAACGCGTTTATGATATAAAGTAAGAAACTATAACATGGAAATTATACAATGAAGAAAAAATGTTTTTCTTCCTAATTAAAAGGTGAAACTCAAATGATGAAAGAACATTTTATTTTATGACGGCAGTTTTATTTTATGTCTCTCATATTTTTGTATACGATTAATTCTCCGATTTTATATCAAAATTTTTAATTCAAGAATTTTTAATATACATAACCAAATCATGCATTCTATATAACATTAGAAAGATAATTTTGATTTCTATAAATAGACACCAATAACGTGTAACTCCGATAATAACACAGAAAGTTATTAAAATAATATCACTATATCAACTTTTAAAACCAAAATTAAAACAAAAATTAAATCTCAATCCATGACAAATCGTTTCTAAAAAACTATTTCACACTCGATACGTATGATTGATTGGGGGCATTATCCAAAATACATTCTTTTTGCTAAAACTACTTCTGCACATACCCTTCTCCAGTTGTGACCTTGTGACCAGAATTCATGTATGGTCACATGATGGTCACATTGGTCATAACGTTAAATTTATGGTGACTACATCAAACCACCATGGTCACACCTTACATATCACACTAATCATTTGGTAAAATCATCAAAAATCTAACGTTGTGACCAATGTGATCATCATGTGACTATACAATTATTCAGGTCACAAATAGAGAAGAGTAGGTGTAGAAGTAGTTTTAGCATAAGGAGAATATTTTGGATATTTTGCCGATTGAATGCAATATAATCTTATAGGATAGAATAGACGTACCTTATAGAAACAATCATAATTCAAACTACCTATCTTATCAAACTCAAAGATTAACTTGAATTACACATAAATAAAAAAGATATGTTTTTTAAAAAAGTTTTTATTTGGTATTTGGGATTTTTGTGCTATAAAAATGGAAACAAGATATTTCTATTTATAGAAACAATAAGAGTATGAAAGGTCCAAAATAAATTAATCATAAAAATTAATGGAGAAATGAGATAGTAGATAATAAAAACATTACATTACAGGTTCAATTGGAGAAATGGGTGATCATGGAGATACAGATTAAATCACTTTTAATAAATTGATCAGGGTTTTACAGAGTTAAAAAATCAAAATACACTTTAATATTGCTATAAATATGCAATAAAAATGTATATTGTATGGAAGAGTGAAAATTAAACTTTTATGACAAAATAAATGTATCGATCTCTATTATTTATGAAAAAATATATATATCTGTAATAAATTATTTATTGCAAAATATCTTCTTTATTTCGATACGTTCTCTTATAATATAATCTAGAAAGGACTGTACATAGCATATGGTTTAACAGGCTTTTTTGGATGTTTTTATCCAAAATTTTAAAATAAACCTATATTCATCTTTTGATCTTTTAGCTTATAGAAATTGTTTTAGATAGACGTGAGATAAATAATATATTTATTTTATTTTCGGTACAAATTGTGTTTTTTTTTTTTCGGTCAACATTGCTTAATTATGACGCTC